AACGCCTGTTTATCAGAGGTAGGGGTGCTGTTGCGGGCCAGAGACTACAGGATTTTGATAGGTATAGAATCATGTCATCTGAGAAGGAGATAGTTGACTTCCTATCTGCTTCCTTTTATTAATAGAATGCCTGATTATTGTTCTCTTTTCTGGAATGCAAAGGCCCACAATTCTCAGCTCACTGCAACCTCTGCCCTCGTGAGTTCAAGCAATTCTTGCTGGGTCTCAGGGCCTCCTGAGTAGCTGAGGGAATACAGGCACCACCACTACACGCTGGCTCATTCTTTGCTTATTTTAGTAGAGTTGGCGGTGTTCACTGTGTTGGCCCACGCTCCGGTCTTGAACTTGTTGGTGCTCTTCTATTAGTGATAAAACCATCTCAGCGCCTCCACCAGTGCTGGGGATCACAGGCGTGGCTACGCCACCAGCTAATTTTCTTTTTTGCTTCCAGTGCTGCATTTCCATTAAAATGTGAATATTTTAAATTTCCTTTTTATCTATCTCCTGGCTGACTAGTACATTGGTTTCTTTTCTGTTGTTGATTGTATCATATGCATTTATCATCTCTGGCAAATTCTTACATTTTTAAATTCCCTGTGTAGTCATATTAGACTTTGCATATTCTAATTTGGCTTAGCCTCTCTTATATTTTTAATTTCTTTTTTCCTCTGCAACATTTCTGTGTAATTTCCTAACTTATACATAATTTATGCCACTTTTATTTCACCAATCTTTCTTCAAAAATGTGTCAAATTGACTGAGCACAGTGGCTCACACCTGTAGTCCAGCATTTTGGAGGCTGAGGCAGGCAGATCACGAAGGTCAAGAGATCGAGACCATCCTGGCCAACATGGTGAAACCCATCTCTACTCAAAAATACAAAAATCTGGGCATGATGGTGCACACCTTACTCCAGCTACTCCCAGCTACTTAGGAGGCTGAGGCAGGAGAATCGCTTGAACCAGGGAGGTGGAGGTTGCAGTGAGCCGAGATCATGCCACTGCACTCCAGCCTGGCGACAGAGCGAGACTCCGTCTCAAAATATAAATATATATATATTTTTATATATATGGATAATTAGTATTGCCAGATAGTTACAATGGAATGGTGACAAATGCAAAATTGCAGTGAATGCATGGACAAATAGTACAATTTGCTAATCCTCTGACCTCTTCCTTAGTATATCTCACCTCCACTGAATATATAATGAATCAATAAGCTTCCTAGTACAAGACACTCTTCATTCACAAAAATAAACACAATTGCCTTTTGATTTCTATATCTGAGAGGGATTCAGGCAAATACAGGAGGTACTAACAAGAAGAGGCAACATATTTTCTAAGCTATCATAGTCGGCAGTGTCTACTTGGGGTTATGTTTATTCTTGAACATTACACTTAAGGCCTCCACAGGCTCTGAGCCTCAGCCCCTCCTAAATGTAGTAACTTTTCACATATGGAAGATCCTAGTAGGCCAGTTCCCTTCTCTCTGAAAATATTTTTCCAATCAGAAGGACAAAAACAGTATCACGCAAATATGTTAAATGAACAGCTCTTTTCTTTTATATATTCTTGTTCACAACTAACATAACATTTTTTTCTGCCTTGTAGGTACCAGAGATTTGAAAAGGCATTTCTCCTAGCTGTTGACATTGGTGCTCGTGACCTCTTTATGGTGAGTCATTTTGGGAGATGATTTTGTGCCTTCAGTTCTAAGGCTGAGTAAGTTGTCAGCTTCTGTGACCATTAAAAAGGATTAGTGTCATTTTGCAGGCTTAGACACATGGTGGGAAAGCATTATTCCATCTTGACTTGCAGGTTTGCTTTCATGAAACTGGTCAATAGCTATCTAGTATCTTTTGATTTGTTGACATTTTCTTTGCTGGCTCCAATGGATCTTTTATGTTTTCTAAGAATTTATAATTCTTGAACTTTTCTCCTCATGTATCTTGATGCAAGGGGATGACACCTATCTATCTAATAATCTTAAATGTCTTTCTAATCCATTCTCTGAAGAAAAGCTATAGAATCCAGGACATAGGGCAAAACATGTCCCACAGATCTTGAATGTGCTCAGTTTGTCCCTTAGATTTTAGTGTAGAGTAACAAAGTAGGAATGTTCTCACATGTATTTTTTGAGTAACTATAGTACAAAGTGGATCCAAGAGGTTAAATTCACATACACTCTGGCCCTCCCATTTGTTAGCTACAGAACAGTAAAACTGACCAGTTTCTTACAAATCCTTATACTCTGTATCAGGTTTCGGTTTTATAAGATCTTGCACCACAGTGCCACATTGAGATCAAATGAACAAAGGAAAAGTCCTTTCCTGGTTTCCCAGCATATTCTGTTAGATAGCAATTTCATTGTTTCACAGAAACAACAGAGCAAAAGGTTCTTGAAAGAAGAAATAGTTCTAGAAGGTGCTTTTGCCTGAATCTTTTGCACAATTAAGACATTTTATAGTTTAAGCTTTGATGTTTCAGATATTCTGTTACATAGCAATTACATTGCTGTCACAGAAACAATAGAGCAAAAGCTTCTTGAAAGCAAGAAATACTTCTAGAAGGTGCTTTTCCAGAATCTTTTGCACAGTGAAGTCATTCTGTAGTTTAAATTAAGCTTTGATGTGTTAGATAATATTATGGATTCATCACATTAAATCAATCCTCTTTGGATTGAGTTTGATATTTAAATTCTAATTGTATGTCATTCAATTAATTATACTTTTATTGACCATTAAAAATCTAATTTCAAAAGCGTGAACATTCTTTTATTCATCATCTGCATTTTGTGATGTCTAATTGAGCAGGCATATTACATTGAGGGAAGGTTTTATTATTTTCATCAAAATCTATACATGCAGAGATCACAGTGTCAGAAAATTAATTACACTTTTTAGATTTTCCAGCCCCATTGACTTTTTTCCTTATCTCCACCTTTTTACCTTTGCCACTTACCTCAATAATGGTAGATTTTCCCCATATTTCTTTATTTTTATGTCTATAGTTTCAGTCTTTTTTCTAGCCAAGATAAGAACTAAAGAGATGTATATTTAAATGTTTGGTGCCTGGTAAAATTTATCTCTCAAGGTATTATGTTCTATAATTTCTAATGTTGTAATAATTACAAACATCATGAAAGGCACCTTCTAAACTTAAATCATACCTGTTTCAGCTTTCAGTCTCAGTTTAGCCAATGACAATATAAAGTATCCAGGTTAGTTCAAATCACTTTCATCCAATAGCCTTTCTACTGATAGGCTAACCCTAACCCATGAGGATTTTTACACCAAAAAGATGAAAATATAAAATAAGGGAAGTATAGAAGTCGTTTTACTGTCCTTTTTATTTGCAAAAGCAAACATTCGTTAATTCAGAATGCTGCATTGTTACTCTTCATGGATAACTTTATTTATAGCCCATGGTCTGCTTTAAAGAAGCTCAAAATATTAAGAGCATTAAAGCCTGAAAGTTCTATTTAAGCTCATGAATCTACTATATACATTTAAAGTTCCATGTAGAAATTGCCTAAAAGAATTTATTTTTTAACAGATTGATTCTTACTATCTAAATTTCATCTAGCCAGAGGTCTGTAGCCTATAGACTGAAAAATGTTACCTCTTTTGAAATTAAAAGCTTGTAAAATAATCAGGATTATTCCTACTTATACATGATTTTCTACCCTTGAGTTATCTCTTGGTAAAAGACTAAAAATAATAACATGTGAATCACAATGGGATCACACAAAAGTGTGTCAGTTAACCTGAAAATAGTCCTTTTGCATTAGCATATTATCAGTGGTAAAAAGTTACAAGACATACAACATAAGAAAGTTGATATGGCTGGAAAGCAGAGAGACTAAAGGGACTTACTTTTCCATATAAAGGAGTTAGAATTTATCTCAAAAGCAATAAGAAGTTACTAAATCATTTTAAACAGAAGAGTGATATTATCAGTATTTTGGCTAGGAAACTTTTCCTATAAAGGGCCAGGTAGCAAATAGTTTAGGCTTGTTTCTTGCATGCTTTATTGATTGACTGATTGATTGATTGATTGAGTCAGGGTCTTGGTTTTTCACCTAGGTTGGAATGCAGTGGTGTGATCATAGCTCACTATAACCTTGAACTCCTGGGCTCAAGCAATCCTCCTGTCTTAGCCTCCGAAGGAGCTAAGACTACAGGCATGTGCCACCATGCTTGGCTAAGTTTTGTAAATATTTTAGACTTTTTACAAGCCATACGGGCTCTGTTGCATTTACTTAACTCTGCCATTATAGAGCAAAAGCAGGCATAGTCAATACATACACAAATAAGTTTGGCTGTGTTCCAATAAAAGTTCATATATGGACACTGAAATTTGATGTCACATAAAACCGTTTCTGTGATTTTTTTTTTTTTTTTTTTCCCCAAAAACCATTCTTAGTTTGGGTTAGATTGGATGGCAGGTCACAGTTTGCTGATTTCTTGTTTAGAGTATGATCATGTAAGGCTGCATTGTAGAAAATAAACTGGAGAGAGACAAGGCTTCTAGGTACAAGTGTGAAGTAAACAAAGAGGTGGGTTCTTTCAGGTCCATTTCCTCAGGTCCAGCACCCTCAGTAATTTTCTTATATTTAAGTCCTGTTGATTCAACTCCAAGCTCTCTCAGTTATTTGCTGCATAATTTTGTATAATTTACCTAACTGTTTGCTTTCATTTTATCACCTGTGGTGATGATAATGCATAAATCCCTAGTGTGCTTTAAGTATCAAATGAATTAATAATATATATGAAGTGCCTGGCATATGACTTAAGAACTACAGTTCTAGTATATATTTTATATTACTCATTTTTCAAATATTTAGGTAGTAATACATTTTACATTGTTTATACATTTGTCAGATTAACAATGCTGGAATTTAGGTAACTGTTGATATTTGGGTGTTTAAAACCAAGTAGTCTCTACCTGAGAGATTGGAATTGAATCAAGGCAGCCTAGTTTCAGACTACATACTCAATCACTGTGGTATATAGCCTAGAAATGGATTCATACGCCTATATATTAATTTAGTATACAGTAGAGGTAGCATTTCAAATCAGTGGGGGAAAGCTTCAATAAGTTGTATTGGTCCAACAGACTCAACATATGCCATACAAAGGGTTAATGCACCTAATATACAAAACCAATAATCAGTAAAAAGTAAAACACCCCAGTAAAAAGCTAGCAAAAGTCAGGCCAGGTGCATTGGCTTACACCTGTAATCCCAGCACTTTGGGTGGCCAAGGTGGGCGGATCACCTGAGGTCAGGAGTTCGAGACCAGCCTGGCCATGGTGAAACCCCATCTCTACTAAAAAGAAGATATATATATATATATATATACATACACACACACACACACACACATACACACAAAATATATATGTGTGTGTGTGTGTGTGTGTATATACCCACACACAAAAATTAGCCGGGCGTGGTGGCAGGCTGTAATCCCAGCTACTTGGGAGACTGAGGCAGGAGAATCACTTGAACCCAGGATGGGGAGGTTGCAGTGAGCCGAGATCGAGCCACTGCACCCCAGCCTGGGCGACAGAGCACGACTCCATCTCGGGAAAAAAAAAAAAAAAAAGCTAGCAAATTCACAATCAGGCAAGTCACAAAATAAGAAATACAGATGACAACTAAACACACAGAAAAATGTTAGTCTCTTTCTCTGTGAGTGAAAGAACAGTTTGGGCTAAGGTATCCAGAAACAGGCAATCTTAAGCAGTTCATAGGAGGGTACATTGGTAAGCTTTTCTTGATAACCTTATCAAAAATCATGTGACCATATGTGGGAGCGTTTATTTGTGGACTTTCTGTTTTATTCCAGTGGTCTATATGTCTGTCTTTGTGCCACACCACATTGTTTTGTTTACAGTACCTTTATATTAAGTTTTGAAATCAGAAAGTATGAGTCCTCCAACACTGTTCTTCTTTTTCAAGACTATTTTGGATATCTGGGGTCCCTTCGGACCCATGTAAATTTTAGGATGGTTTTCTATTTCTGCAAAAACAGATATTGGAATTTTGATATAATTGCATTGAGTCTGTTGGTCACTTTGGGTAATATTGACATCCTAACAAGATTAAATCCTCCAATCCAACTTCAGTACTATGTTGAATAGATGTGGTAAAAGTGGGCATATTTGTCCTGTTGCTGATCTTAGAGGAAAAGTTTTGAGTATTTCACCACTGAGTATGATGAATGGTGGGTGTTTCGTATATAGATTTTATTGTCGAGTTAGTTTTCTTCTACCCTAGTTTGTTGAGTGTTTTTATCATGAAAGGATGTTGAATTTTTGTCAAATGCTTTTTCTACCTCAATTGAGATGGTTATGTGGGTTTTTCTACCTTTATTCATGTTATATCACATAAATTAATTTTCATATGTTGAACCATTCTCGCCTTCCAAGAATAAATCTTACTTGGTCATGATGTATAATCCTATTAATATGCTACTGAGTTCAGTTTGCTAGTATTTTGTTGAGGATTTGTGCATTAATGTTGATGAGGGATATTGGTCTTTGGCTTTATTATTATTTTTTGTATTGTTTTTGTTCAACTTTTGTAGTATGGTAATACTGGCCTTATAGAATGAGTTAGGAATTAGTATTATTTTCTCTTTAAGTGTTTGGTAGAATTTACCAGTGAAG